TCACCTATACCACTGCCGCAATGCCATTACACTGTCACTGTGTGGTAACTGAGTGGCAATGACGTAACCATGGCACAAGAAGAGCAATGACGTGACCATGGCACAAGAAGAGCAATGACGTGACCATGGCACAAGAAGAGCAATGACTACTTACAGTAGTTTCTTGAACTATGTTACTTTCTTCCTTGGACCTTGGTCCGAACCGGGAAACTCCGCCCAGCGCGTCATACATCTATTTGCCGTCATGACACTCGGTCGACGTGTTGGTGACAGCTCGCGTTCCAGAAGAGGATAAAAGCAGGACTTGCTGCTTTGCCCTGGGCAGATAGTCAATCACGCAGATCTACACCGGTTGGAAGGTCGTCCAAGGAGAAGGAGAAAGAGTCAATACCGCGACTCCTTGATACTAGACGTCAGGAGGCTGCCTCTTTAGGTCTACAACAAGTACCACAGTGCGACATTGTCGGTCGACGTACAGTCGTTCGGTGTCAGAATCAGTGAGCAAGACCAGATAGTTTGGAGTGGCTGGATAGAAATTAGAAAGTGTCACTCAAGTCAGTGATGACCTTTCCAGAGCCCTGCTTCATTTCAGCCAGACGCCAATCGTCATGTCGGGGTTGCTTGACTGTGACTGTGTGGTTGGCAATGGCTACCGCCCTGATGGCTGTCTTCACACCGCTGGGACACTGTGCGACTCTCATACCAGATGTGTGTAATGGCACCAACCCTGTCGAGTATCACGGAATCTACACAGCAGGGACGCAGATTGATGCGGAGAGTTCGCTCGGCAGCAAACTCGTAGATACGGATTGGGAGCTGGTTCGTATTTACACCACGCTTCATGTAAATAATCGGACGTATGCCCCTGGCTATTGCCCGGGCGACGGGTTCGAGCCGGCCTACACGCTGGAGCAAAATGGCTCAGCGCTGTCACTGGCCTTCGTGTACGGTCGTAACTCCCAGTATGCTGAATCCTTTCTGCCAATACCCGTGCCGACACGCTATTACTCATTTGGTACACTCCACGCCAAAGACGCTTGGAAAGCTGACGATCACCAGACACTGAAGCTCACCATTGGTTCAGACTGGCAGAGTCAGAGATGCTGGGCCGTAAGCAGTACTGACCAGCGGCTGTCATTCCTCATTCACGTCGTCAACACAACTCTGACGAAGTGCAGGAGCCGGGTCACCCAAGACTGGCAAGAGCAAGAAGGATGGCTAAGCGGAAACATCTACGTGCGCACGCCAAGCAATCAGCGACCGGACTCTACGTTCACTACGTTCGTATACGGGTACGTGCACAAATATAGGAAATGTGAAAATCACTATACAGCCGAGGAGTTTTCCGTTCTTACTGGCCCTGGCGCCTTTCCACTTGAGTTCACAGTGTGCAGCGGATGGGTTGAACTAGAAGTGCATTACCACTACCTTTACACTCTCATAGGAGTTGCTGGAATCACGACCTTTATTGTTGTCCTATTCCTTGCCCAAATCTTTGAGGGTCCATACTTCGAAGAACTACTTGCAGGAAGCAGCAAGACTCCTACTTCTTTGAAGGACTTTCTTGCCGGTATGTATACACCTGTGCCAGTGTTTCACACTGGCTTCCCGCAAATGCTGTCAATAGCCCATCTGTGTGAGGAAAGTACTTGCACAAGTAGACCACTGATGCTTTTAACAGCCAAATGGCTGCACAGTACAGCCGTGAAATACGTTCTCTACAGCGTTCTTTCTGTTCTGGCGCTATTACTACCATTTTCAATAGCTGGACAAAGCCAACGATTCGATACCATAATTCAGTTGGTGCGGCTTTGTCAACCAGGAGCTAGAGGCACCTTTGCTTTGATGTTCTTCTCCGGCTTGGCACTACTTGTGTGGTATTGTTTTGCAATCCCGTTCGTGGTACATGTAATAAAAGTAAAGAAAAAGAAACAAAAGCAACGACAAGTAGAAGAAAAGTCATCTCTGGGAACCTTGATCGCGGCCCGAACATTGCTCGTGCTTTGGATAGGTGTGTCATTTATTGCATTCCTCAATCTTATGCTCGTTGTCATCTTTACAGTTATTGGATTAGCTATCTACCACACTTTTATCTTGCTTGGTGTTCTGGCAATAGTTAAAGTCATACTTATTGACATCTTTCACATTCATTATTTGGACGAGACACTCTCCCCAGATATAGCAGCATGCCAGCGGGCTTGTGACGAGGCCAGCCAAACGCTGCAGGACACACTGGTGATGGATTCTGTAACTACAATATGTGACCAATCATCCAATGATCTCGAAAGGTCTATTGGGGATGTCAAGAAATTTGTGCCACATCCGCTAAGCGCAAAGAATCGCCCATGGGCAACAGCTCAAGTTAATGCAAATATCAAGACTGCACAAATGGACAGACTGAGAGCGAAGGCCTTTTTGCTGCTTTGTGCACGACATGGTATCGTCAAAGAATTCACCATGTCAGCTACTATTGTTGATAGCATCGATTCGGTCCTATACGGCATCATCAAGGTGAATCTGGAGGATAAGATCAGAAGGAGATATGCGGGTTTTGTGTTCAGATCCATTGTCTTCAGCTGGTTAGTTGTGGTCACATTCCTTACTATGCAGATTACATTCACAGTTCTTGCTGACAGTGACCCTGGCTTCAAGATGTGGACTGGATTCATTCTACCAGGATTAGTGTTGCTCAAGCCTTTTGTCTCCAGGATCCTGAACAAGAATAGAGGAGCAGCTGACATCACAGGCGAGTATCTATGCACCGAAGCCAAACGCATCATCCTGCTACTCATCCAAGAAGAGAAAAATGAAGCACGCTGGGAAACTGTGCCATTCCAGCATGCCACGTGATTGTCGCCTTGGAGTCGACCAATGAGAGATCAAATTGCGCCGGCTGAAAAGCGCGGTCCTGTCGGCTTAAAGGTAATGGAACTGGATCCACTGCCCATCGTCAAGTGACAACGGGCAGGAACGGAATCCACTGCGTTCATTGGCACACGAACTTGGCTTGGGTGCCACGGTACGAGAAACACGTTTCCAGTCACTCATACTTGACCAGTACCGCTGTTCATCCAGCCCTTGCCGCGGCGCGGGATGGATTCCGCGGTACTGCCCTCGTACTCGTGCAGGAACCTGTACTTACATGTATAATTTTCGGACCATTCGTCGCATCGCATTGCTATTTGTTCGTGATATTTTTGATAGACTTTCCCCTTTTCCATTCCCTCAACTAGTGAAAATGTAAGCAATGCATGTACAATGTATGTTTCGCTACATGAATGCAGTGTGCTGCTACATTATTTGCCTTTGTTAGAGACAGTTAAGGGGGCACATCACCCAAAATTCGCTGAAAAATCGAATTTGTAAATTCATATTGAGTGCTAGGTCAGTTGAAAGAGCATGAATAGCTGCAAATTCTCTGAAAACTGTGTCCCTATCTGACCAGCCGTTCAAGAGTTATGGCCGAAAATGTGCCCTTGCAAGGAAAGATTTTTTTGTTGCACGCTGTCATTTGTTGGCAGCACTGTATTTGAATGTGAGCAGACCGTGCGCAACTTGTCGTATTATGAAAACACGCGAAAGTGTGCAGAATTTTGCCTCAAGTCCAAAAAAGTCCAAAAAATCACGTTAAAAAACCACGTATTGGGCTGCACGGCGGCGGGCGAAGCCCGCCGCCGTGCAGCAGGACTTTTGCCAGCACCCTCGTGACGTTGCAGAATATGTGGCTTGATTATTGTAGTTGACGTTGATTTAGGGGTCGTCCATAATTATCGAACTTTTTTCACGAAACGAAATAATTTCGTTATGGGGTGGGAGGGGGTTGACCAATTTCGTTTTAGAAAATTTCGATACATGTACATGGCCATAGGAGCAGTGACACACTTGCGACTTTTGTCGTATATGCATGTATATGTCAACAATTTTTACGTTCTGAGGGGAAGGGAGGGAGGGGTTGGGTCTAAACTAAAATAATTCGTTTGGTGAAAAAAGTTCGATATTTACGGACGGCCCCTTAGTGACTTTGGCAAGTTTGAGTCGTGTCAAGAAGTCAGGTAGGATTCAGTACTAGGCAGTAGTGAAACGTGAGTGGCAGTCTTTGCCGGTTTCTGAGGGCATCCTGGATTTGGTGTGCAGCGCTGTGGAAATGGCTTGCTGTGGAGGTCCCAGCACTGGATGTTGTATCAAAGGTACGACCTCGTAGCACGTGCTAAACCTAAAAAAATTCAAAAATTGACTTGGGCCTGTGGGAGTCCGCGAGAGAACGCCCACTCGTTCCGTTGTGACAGATTCCAGGGCCACGTAGAGGGGCCCTACCCCACCACCCATGGGTGCTTCTGGACTTGTTTTAGGTTTGGGTCCCGCGCACGGACAGAATGGGCACGAAAATGTGAAAAAAATGTAAATGCATTTGTTTGGCTCCTGGGTGGCTCGCACACCGTGGCACTATGCCGGAAATTTGAGTTTTTCCGGCCTGGAAAGCCTGTCAGTGAGGCGCAAGAACTTGTATTTGTAAATCATGCCCTGAGGGCCAGCATAGTGGCAGGAGTGTGTGGTCAAAATTTCACTCAAATCCACTGAGAAACACCAAAGTTACGGTCAATTGAATGCCATATGAAATTTTTGGGTGATGTGCCCCCTTAATGCTAGAAGCTGCAGTGAACAACATCACAAATAGAAAATATAGAAAAGCAAATACAACTGAACTTTGATACTGGAAATTACAGATCTGCTGCCCGCATCCACATGTCCATATTCTACATGTGCGATTGATCCTGCAAGATCTTCACTGCCCGTCTAATTGAGGATGGCACCCGGAATAGAACGGGCCGCTTCTAAACCAATCAAAGACCCAGGTTGTTATACTCCAGCAACCGGGCAAAGACCTGTCACCCATCCATGACCCATCAGCCCATCTCCTTATGCTCACATTTTGGTGTAGTAGTTGAGCACCTGTCCTTCATTCATCAAGTGGATATCCTAAGCATGTGACTTACCGCTGGTATATCTCTGCACTTCCATCTTGACTGGTTGTCAAGTCCCTTTCCGGAGAGGTAGAGTGGATGGTAGGGTCAGTGCAGTCCTGGCCACGCCATGAGAAAGAAGACATTTTCCCATCAGGAGAAGGCCAACATCCTCCCTCTGGGTAGTGCCTTGATACCTGCAGTGCAGTGCAGTAACATTAAACTGCAATTGAAATTGTCTCCATGCCATTGTTAAGCCCAGTTCACATTCGACGGGCGCAACGGGACGCGACATAAGGATCGACGGGAAACGCCGGGACGGTCACCCCGTCACGGACTGTGCCTTATGACTCGCACCATTCGCTGTTGAACATCGCAAATACTGGAGCATGTCGTGTCGTACGAATTGTACAAGATTTTACAGCTCACCCCAGCCGTCACAGGCCCTTAGGTCCCCTACCGTCAGCGTTGCGTCGAAAGAGAACTAGGCTTTAGAAAGATTACGTGTTGGTATGTGCTCCTACTTACACACAAATATACAAAAGGTATATAAAGAGAAAGCATGATCCACTCCATCATTGACACCAACAGCCCGGCACAAGAGCAGCAGCACCTGCATTCTATTAACCCAAAGTTCATCTGCGAATATACTCACAGAGTCGTCTCCTTTACTGTGCCCGACCTTGGAAGAAAACAACACAGCAACGTAGTGTTGGTGTCGGTGAGGGCTTCTACGTTCACATGAACATACAGAAAAGCACAATATATTTCCAAACAGACGCCAACTAGTATAACGAAACAGCAACGACAACACCACAAAGACCTAACAGTCTCTTGAGCACAAAGTGTCTGGGATAAAAAAAAGAGCAGAAGTTCACCATCGACACTGGTATTATAAAACTTTCTACAACTGCTGCAGAGGCAGCAGCAGGGTTCTAGTGCCCGGACCCAAAGCTCATCTGAGAATTTTCGCCATTGATACAAAGCAACGACCATGGTAGCAGCAGAGAGTAACAGCAGCAGCCGTTTGAGCAGCAGTATCAGCAGTCTCCAGCTTCAAGGGAGTGACCTAGCAAATTTTACAGTAACGTGAAAGGTGCAACTGCACTCTTTCCGGCACCAAATATGCCATGCTGTCCCCCGCTGCAAAATAGAGGACAACTCTCAACTGTCGCCAACACCTTGGCCCAGAGAGAGTCTTTCCTTGGACGTTCGCCCCGGCCAAAGAAGGTCAAAACCCAAGTGGTGTAATCATGTATCTGCTTCTCCTATCGAGACACTGGCAAGGCTTGTATAGGCATGATAAATTGATAATACTGTATGCATATAACAAAGGCAAACGCACAAACTCACGTCCATGCACATGTGCACGGACGGTGTCGTTGGCGTACACACACACACACATAAACACACACACACACACACACACACACACGCGCGCCCATGCCCGCGCATGTACAGGACAAAGGCATGTGCAAAGGAGCATGCTCACAAAAGTACAGGACAGGCACACGACTGATCTACGGATGTATCACGACATTGAAGGGACGGAGCTTGCAGCAAGCCTTCACCCTCTGGAGATTCCTGAAATACATAAATACATGTCAGCAGTAAATAGTTGCAGCATAAACATTTCCACGAGGACTGTGCAGCTTCACTAACCTTAACTTCAGTCTCCCCAGAATGCAGCAATCAGACAACGGCTACGAAGAGGTGCAGGAAATTTGAACAACTGTTTCAAAAGCAGTCCTCCAAGCCTTCTGCACCAACAGGTGATTCAGTTCATGCTCTTATACCATCCTGGCAGGTAGAGACATTTTCTAATAACACGGAGAGCACAATCATCAAGGTGGACAAGTCCTCAAGAGAGAGTGCACCCTAACTTACACTACAAATCATTTACTGGACACTACTGGACAGAGCGTCCAGTCCATTCAGTCCAGGGGAGAAGAGGCAAAGGCATAGGGCTCCTGAGAAGATGAAAGGGCAACACATTATCATTACTACATTAATTTTATTATTGGGGGCAGACGTCTTCCCTGTAAAATATGAGGACGAAAGGCACATCAGTACTCACATCCCTGCTCATATCACTGCTCATCCATGTCCTCTACAAGGGCAATGCATTTAGGGCTGAAACAAGTACAGTAAAACCTGTAACTAACGACCACCCCTTGGTGCCCGGAAAAGTGGTCGTTAGTGGCAGGTGGTCTTTAGTTAGAGGTTTGCATCGCGCGACCATATATGGATCCCATTATATGATATGTATGTCAAAATGCAGATAATACAATCCCCCACCACTTGCGCACTGACATTCTTCTTTCAGATCATACAACACTTGGAGAGAGAGAAAATCAAGTTTTTTATACACCGGAAGCGATGCGACCTTTTGACACGTATGTCGACTCACCGGGTTTCCAGAGCAGCGCTGGCCTGGCCAGGCAGTGCACTAGTCACTATCGACTCCATCCTCATCTGTGTGCGACTACACTGGCAACTGGTATCAGTGTGTTGATCTACGAGTGGAAACTCAGTCGCTCCGACTTGGATGTAATGTAGCGTAAACTGTACTAGTGAGTAGTGTGTACCAGTACGTGATGCGGCGATGTTGCGAGTTTTCGCACCTTTCACTGTAGACTATTATCCGCCCTCGTAGTCGTATCCTGGCCTGTGTTCCGTACAGGTGAGTACATAATACCGTAGCATGCTAGCTAGCCAGCACAGACTGTCAGTGTGACCTGGTGTAGTGGTGAGTCTGGTGACTGAGCTGTGTGATTGCACTTCGACAGAGAGCCGCTCAGTCTTAGTTTCTCCTTCGAGTAGTAACATCGATCAAAGAGCGCTTTGGATGCGCTCTCCAAGACGTTTCCTATCATGTTTGTTCTTGACAGCACTTGAAATTATGACAGGTGTAGTGCAATCCACACTGATTCCACAGTAAAAATGAGACTGCGCTCATTTGTCCAGCTGTAGTATCGAAACGACCATGGAAAATCATCAAAATTTCGAGAAGGAGCTTCAAGCAATGCTTGATTTGCTACATCGCGGTCGCTAGTTACGGGTCAAAATTCGACACTAGAGAGGTTAAGTTACACGTTTTTTGCCCTTTTTCAAAACGCGGTGCAAATCTCACGTTACGTGTAATTTTTAGAGGTTAAGTTACACGTGCGACGTGACGTGAAATTTTGCCTGGCAGGATTCGGGTTTAGTTCTCACAAATATCAAATCTTCCAAAAAACTCGATAAAATTCCGGAAACTCACACAAATTCGGCCGGAATAACCAAGCGAAACTTCCCAAAACTCACGTCATGAACTTACGTGCGGGACAGTCAACTCACGTAAAACACGTCAAATTTTACGTGAGTTTTTTCACTTTTTGACGTAAAAGTTCACGGACGTAAGACTTTTACGTGAAACTTAACCTCTTTAATGGGACAAGAAAAGGCGGTCGCTGGAAAAATTGTACACAGACTGCATTTGTTCTCGACTCACCTCAAATTCTATAATTATCCGGGTCATAACTTTAGTCTCCTTTTGACGATTTTTTCAATCTTGGGCTTCCTGGAAAGCTCGTTGCAAGAGGAACACATTGAGCCCACGCTTGCCACCACGAAGGTCAAAACGCCAGCGCTACAGCCCAGCGTCTTAGCTGCAACGCCAATATTCCGACAGAAGTCGTCTTGCATCAGTCATTTCGCTCTCCTTGCTCGTAACAACTAACTGTTACTTCAAAAAAATTCACAAACTGCCATGAGTCCGTTTACCACTTTGAACGTGTTTCTGCGTCACTGCATGCCCAGAATGATGGGGAAATCCATCATTCAAATTTGCGCAAGCGGCTATTGAGCGACATTTGCCGCGATTCGACTTTCGAGCTTCGTAACTCTGGAACCACACATCAGAGCGCTTCAAAGATTGTTTCAATGGACAGCTGGGAGTTTTCTCTTTGACCTACATATTTCAGTTTTCGGATATAACCCAGGAATGACTGAGTTATGATCGATTGAAATTTCGAGTTTCGATCCCAGGGGATCGAAAGTTGTACAGTCCGTACACAAAGGGGCACTCCGGCTCCATTTTCGACGACGATTTTTCGATGCCAAGACGAAGGTTGGTGAAAGAGAAGACGCCTCGAACAAGAACGAGTCTCCAGAAGCGATCGAGTCGAGCAGGAAGACGACTTTTGAATTTCGCCGAGCGAGCGCTGATGACGTAATGAGCTTGCCAGTGGAAATGCATCTGCGCACATACATTTCGCATACTTTTTGGCCAATTTTCAATCGAAGAGGAGGTTGTTTCAATCGAAGAGGAGGTTGTTTCAATCGAAGAGGAGGTTGTTTTCTATGTTCTCTCAACGTCGTGAGCGATCCCGTCTTCTATATCCTTCCAGGTACCCTGAAGGTCCTCCAGACGAGAATTTATCTCCATCAAAGCGTTGTTGATCCGCTAAATTCGTCTTGAGACATATTCACCCAGTGCAGTGCTGATAAATGTAGAATGTTGAATCTGTGATAATTGTCGACGATGGAGAGAGAGGTTGATAGCCGCTGTCGCAGTGAAAGTGAAGCTGCTGGAAGTAACAACGGGGAGTTTGTTAGCATCACATGAGCATCCAGACTTCAAAGCAGCTTGACGGAATCGGGGAGTACTGACTATTTCAGGCGCGTCGGAACGACTTTGGAAGTGGGGCGGCCACGGAAGGGGGGGGGGTCCGGGGGTCCTCCCCCGGGGAAAAATTTCAAAAATTAAAGCCAATTGCAAGCATTTCCGGGCATTTGGTGCCATTTCAGTGTACGGTAACTACAATGAAAGACTTTTTGATTCTGCAAAAACCAAGAAGATGCTACGATCGGGGACAAACATTACCCTCCCCCGGGAAAAAAATCAAAAATTGAAGCCAATTGCAAGCATTCCCAGGCATTTGGTGCCATTTCAGTGTACATGGACTTTTGTAGTTTTGATTCTGCAACAAACCACGATCGGGGACAAGGATTTGCCACGTTTGCGCTGAGATCATCGCGCTTTGTTGCAGTGTGCTAAAAAAAAAAAAAAAAAAAAAAAAAAAAAAAAAAAAAACGGCCGAAAAAGTGGGGCGGCCATGGCCGCCCCGGCCGGTGCGGTTCCGACGCCCTTGCATTTGTCTCGCCCTCAGTTTAGGGAATCTTATGACCAGAAATTATTCGATCATGATCCCTTCTACAAGATGTGTAGTGTAGTACAGGTGATTTCTGAACTTGACGATATGGAGACGGACCAGTAGACCTACCAACAACGTGTACCTGCAGGAAATTCACCCAAGGCTATTGCTATCCTCTTCAGTGGCTGTTGTATTTTAGTAAAAATATGTTCACTTCTCTCAACATACTCCTGCATGGCAGCAAGAAGGTGCGCTATGGAATTCAACGCCACAATCTTCGCCCAGCTGTGGATGAAGCCGCATGATGGTCAAGTCATGGCAGTACACGTACTTGAAACAGATGAGAAATTGAAGTTCATTTGTGATGGGAAGTTTGACAGCCCCAGTGACCGAGTCAAGCGTTGTCTTTTGCCATGGCACAAATTGCTGAAGAATCCGAGATGGTCTTGGAATTATGCACATGGATACTACCAGAAATAATGGTGGCATGAACCATTGTGGAATGGGACAGCTCACGGAGAATACTGGAATAGCTCAAGTATCTCTAGGTGATTGTAAATCCTGTTCTGGCTGATAGCTTCGGCCTGCTGCGCCCGTCCATGTACAATGATGGTAACATGCATTTCTGTTTTCTACATATTTGCTGGCTACTGTACTGTGGTATTACAGTTGCAGGTCCCTTATATATAGAAATATGTTCAACCCCCCCCCCCCCCCCCTCCCCTCCCACATACCCACATTATAAATATGAACTAACAATTTCACTGTTGGACTCGCCGGCGGCTACAACATATAGAGAGCAAAGGATTAATTTATAGCAAAGAAAAGGACCAGGGGACTACAAGTTCCGCTATAATGTCCACGAACAATTTAACTGTATTTGAAATAATTTTGTTTGATACCCTGAGAACTCTGAAACTTTGCAGCACTGTGGATTATATGTGGATACAACATTTATGGAAGGAAAAGTGGAATATTCTAACACATTGTTCAAATAATTATAGCACTGTTGAGATTGTGAGCACATTCCAATCAGCACTCTACATATTTATAAGCGGTGGCAATCGTTAGTAATAGGTCATGAGTTGTCAGAGTGCTCTAGTATATGAGAGAATGTTTTGTTTGTCTAATCAACGGCTCGTTTGAAGCCAGAGTTGTTTGAACTTGTTTCAGTCGACTTGATTCTAGACCGTAGTCGAAGGAGTACTATGAAGTATACACCAGACGTAGTCCGAAAGGTATCTCGTGAGAATTCTGTCGGTACACATCAGGTATCAGCTTGCAAAGATGGCTCCTCTCTGTTTCTTGAAAGCCTGTATAGTTGGACTGTGGCTCCAGCGATTCCCTTCTCAGAGCAGATACCATACCCAATACGGTCAATGCATATTGGACAGACCTGTGTGCACAACAGAAATAGTGGAGAGAAATCTCTCAGCTCATGAACACATCAGTGAAGTTTGAACTGCCGTTGTTTGTGGCCATCAGTATAAACCTATCGACTATAAGAATAATGTGCAAGAAAAACCTCGACCGTAAAATCCCACCAGAGCGCCCCGTCTCTCCCATCCGCCCCTACCTGACTTCTTGTCAGGGACGTGATTGATTGTATCCTCGTATGACTCTGTCGCAGTCTGTGATGCCGTACTGCACTGTAGACGTGTGCTCGACCCCGTTGGAAATGTACGCAACAGTGCCCACCCTCCTGACCAGGGATCGCACAAACCCTGCGTTTTGTCGGATCTGTTCGACTCCTGGCTCTTGACCTTTGGTCGGTGTACGAGATGCACGAACAGTTTTCGTAGGGTGAGTACTTTTTCATGTGGCACTGAATGCGGCAAGTAGGACTCGCCCATCCGCCCCTCCCCACCTGAAGCGTCGAGGAGGTAGGGGCGCTCTGGCGGGATTTTACGGTATAACTACAGCTGGGGCCATGGAATTATAAAGCATCTAACTTAGGGAACTGCCGATTCTGGTCTGAGTTGCGTTCGAGGCCTGGAATTCATGATGGCTATCGTATGTTGCATTGACCAGAGATCATATAAAACTTCCAAAATGCCACATTGAAACACGCACCACTTTCGAGTACTTTGGTATCCCCCACCAAATGGGCATTCGTTCCCGGGGTGGCAGGCGTCACCATTCGTTATGCCTGGATCAGATTTCATTGACCCCAACTGTCACGAAGAATCATTTTTACTTTGACTGGATTTCAGTACAAATTGTAGAACTGCAGAATCAATTATTTTGTTGTATTTGGGCAACCATTTCTCTACATTTCTCTATTTGGAAACTTATGATAGAATTTTTTTATAAAATACATGTCCAAATTCCACATCTACCCAAATCGGAATACTTGATCACGTATTCAGTACTAAACGGAATGTTTAGAAACCGCCAGGGAATAGGAATGTGCTAACGAGAACTCCAGGCCAGGGTACTAGCATACGAACAAAACAAGATAAAAACTCACCAGTATACTTGTAGTAATTCATGTCGGTGTAATATTCACGATAAGCAACGAGGCACCCTCCGATTTGGTCAAGCTGCTTTGAAGTCTGGTTGTTCAGATGATACAAACGGGCTCCCCATTGTTACTTCCAGCAGCTTCACTCTCCCTGCGACAGCGGCTATCAGCCTCTCTCTCTCTCCATCGTCGACAATTACCACAGATTCAACATTCTACATTATCAGCACTGAATATGTCTCGAGACGAATTTAGCGGATCAACAACGCTTTGCTGGAGATAAATTCTCGTCTGGAGGACCTTCAGGGTACCTGGAAGGGTATAGAAGACGGGATCGCTCACGACGTTGGGAGAACATAGAAAACAACCTCCTCTTCGATTGAAAATTGGCCAAAAAGTGTGTAAAATGTATGTGCGCAGGTGCATTTCCACTGGCAAGCTAATCCCTCATTACGTCATCAGCGCTCGCTTCGGCGAAATTCAAAAGTCGTCTTCCTGCTCGACTCGATCGCTTCTGGAGACTCGTTCTTGTTCGAGGGGTCTTCTCTTTCACCTACTTCTTTGAAGTACCTTCGTCTTGGCATCGAAAACTCGGCGTCGAAAATGAAGCCGGAGTGCCCCTTTAAGAGCGCAATCGATAATCGTTAGTGTTCAAAACGAATGCAAACGATTTTGTATGCATGCATACCATGTGGCAGTATTCTAGCCCTTGCACTCCATCCAATTGTGGATACGAGTGCAATCGTGTACTTTCAAGCGCAGTAATATTGATGCGTGGCTATGAAAGAGATCGGGAGTCAAGACGGTATCTTTTCGATTGATTCGTTGCGGAAGTTGGTGATAAGAGCTTCAAGCCAAAGGGTGACGACAAGCCTGATTCTTCGTTCTAGAAACAACATGAACTCCTCTAGTTCATATTGATAAAGCCTAGTTCACATTCGACGGGACGCGGCGTAAGGATCGATGGGAAGCGACAGGACGGTCTGACGGCGTCCAATGTGAACACCAGGAACGGGAACGCAACCATACTACCGTACGGATCGGGAAGCGACGGGAAGTGTTCTGTCCCCGGGGAAAATTGCAATTCCGTGGCCGCGTTTTTTCCCGCGTTTTCTGCGATTTTTTAAAAGACCGCGTTTTCCGCGATTTTCCCGCGTTTTTTGAACTTTTTTGTTGTACTTGTACTTGTACTGCTTGTACTGCTCACTGCCAAAACTGGTCACGTGGGTCTCCCTGGGAGAGGGGAGAGAGACTCAAACACTGGGGGCAGGGGTAACTGCAGTTGTTGTACTACACGTACACACAGTGCACTGTTCGGTCAGCAACGTCTCATCGTGGCGGCTTTTTACTCAAATATGACGAGTTCTTACACCAGAGACTTGTAACTGATTGATTTCACTACATACTCACTGAAAATTGCCCCACATCAATATTATTCACCGCATATTTACCGCATATTTACCGCAAATTCACCGCAAATTATGCCATATTATGCCGCGTTTTTCCCCGCGTTTTTTGCGATTTTTTTCCGCAATTTTCCCCGGGGACAGAGTGTTGGATCAGTTCAACTTTTCATACCGTAAACGGGCATAGACGGAGACGCAAGCGTACAAAACGGCTGCATTTTGAGTGTGAACAGGAGGCAGCGTCGTGCGCCGTCCACTCCCGATTCGTACTAGGAATTTTTTAGGATTTCGAACACTGCGCTTCCCATGATAACTCGCAGAATGGGTAACACGACTTGAGTTGAATTTTAGCAAGATAAGATATCATGTCACTTATGGTATTTAGGGATAGTTTAAGAGAATGACAGATGAACTGTTTTATCATTTCCTAGGGCTACTATTCGAATGGCACAACTTTCAGGGCTACTTTTTTGTCTCCGTGAAAAACTGGTATTGTGAACTTGATTTCGCTTCATTCAAGGAGAAATATTTGAAAAGAAGTCCCGAAAAACAAGAAATTAGGTCCGAAAGTCACCCCGTCACGGGCTGTGCCTTATGACTCGCGCCGTTCGCTGGAGAACATCGCAACGACTGCAGCATGTCGTGTCGTACGAATCGTAAAAGATTTTACAGCTCACCCCAGCCGTCCCGACAGGCCCTTACGTCCTGTACCGTCAGTGTTACGTCGAATGTGAACTAGGCTTTAGACCAGTCAGATGTCTACAGGTGTCGACACAATTGCCTGAAAATGTTTACAGAATACCAAACACTGAGCGGTAGCCTGGGTATATTTAGAGTGTTTGACTGGTGGCCACAGCTAATGTAGCAAAGGCATCATGGAATTTCTTCATAGTCTTGTGTTCGAGGTGCACGACTACAGCCGGAAAGAATCTATAATTATGAACCAACAATTATAATTGATCTCAATGTCTCAGTACTCATACTCCTTGTCAGTTTTGTGCTAGATTGTGCACGTCTGACTATTCGAAATCTGGTTTAGTTGGTGGACTCGATTGCATAGCTTGTGCCCACATTTTTCTATGTTACAATTATATTCATCGCTAAAGAGATTGGTTGATCGCTAGGAGTTATTGAATGAGCGTTTCAGCCCTAATTTATTTTCACCCTGGCCACAGCACTAGGCGAAATTCTCTGACACGGCCTTTACCTGCATCCACTGCTCTTTTGCATCACGACGAAGGACATGCAGGGGTTCTCTCTGAGCAGAGGAAAGTAGCCATCGCCACCACCACCATCACCATTCACCGACAATACTAGAGAGACTATTTTCCCCGTCGTGGATACTTCCAATAAAGTAATTCCACTTACATAGGTACCGTCAGCGGCGCCACCATGTTCCCAACAGTGTATTCCTATCGTGGGTACTTCCACGGGCAATAAATAATGCTGTCACTCGCAAGCCATCAAATTGCTATCCCTCCCTTCCGCGAATTGCCTCTGCAAACATGATTGGATTCAGTTCTTTTCGCTCGTGCACGCGTGGTACATGGTCGCGTGCGCCCCAGCTACGCCCATACATAATTGTTTCATCTTGTTTCATCTTGTTTCATTCGCGGCCCATCTACGCCCGTACTTCGAGTTTCATTTGGTTTCATCTTGTTTCATTTTGTTTCATTTTTGTTTCATTTCGTTTCATCTCGGCCCCATCTGCGCCCGTACTTGGCGTTTCATCTTGTTTCATCTCGTTTCATCTCGTTTCATCTTGTTTCATCTGTTTCATCTGGGGGGAAGACGGGCCTGTCTTGGTTACCGGGCGGGGAACGCCATACTCAGCGAGCGCGGGCCGCGCGAACAGCGTTACACTTGTGCCTCGCAATATCCTGCGGCCGACGAAAACTGCGCGCACAAGTGCCACAGATGAGGGGCTTCGCCACAGGCTCCATGCGGGACTGGACAATAGCGTCGACAGCATCACGGCAGGTGACCCGCCATCCCTGTCGATCTTGGACGATTCCGCCAAGCTGCTCCAGAGGAACGCCAACAGCCATCAAGTCGCACTTCGCGGAGTCCTTCCAGCGCTTTACGGGGTCCATGCGGTGGACGTTTGGAGGGTAACGCGCCGTACAGCAGCTGACGAGGGATCCGATCTTGCATTGTCTGTGGCATACACACACACAGACACACACACACACCTCAGACCTCAGACATGCCCATCGCGGGAGCGATGATAGCGAAGAGCTATGTTAGACATAGCAACTTGTGCTGGGATTACACCATTCAACAGCTTGCAAGGCTGATGAATTGACCGCACACACACACACACACACACACACACACACACACACACACACACACACACACACACGCACACACACACACACACACACCTCACCTCACCTCACCTCAGAGTCAGACCTGCCCATCGCGGAAGCGATGATAGCGAACAGCTATGTTAGACATAGCAACTTGTGCTGGGATTACACCATTCAACAGCTTGCAAGGCTGATGAATTGACCGCCACTATGTTTAGCCTGGTATCCACCACACAGCCGATTGAAGTGACTTTTTCTGGCCAGTGAATCCCTATTTTTCATTTTTCCATTTTTCTACACACACACACACACACACACACACACCCATGCCCGCGCATGCACAGGAAAAAGACATGTGGAAAGGAGCATGCTCACAAAAGCACAGGATCACAGGCACACGACTGATCTACGGATGTATCGCGACATTAAAGGGACGGAGTTTCCAGCAAGCCTTCACCCTCGGGAGATTCCTGAAATACATAAATACATATCATATCAGCATTAAAGGGGAAGTATACCCTAAAATCAAATTTTCACTAGTTGTAGTCTTCTGGGTGCTGAGTCGAATGGTCTTGGTCCGAGGAAGCTGCAACGCTCCCTTCCTACTTGAATCCCAATCGAACTCGCGCACTTCCACCGAAACTGGGTGACTGCGCCCTACTAGATGGGGATTTGTATGCAAAATGTCACTAAAAGCGCCATTTCGTTCTTATAAAAGCACGGATGACCGCGATTGGCCCATATGTTGTAGTCTTTTGGACGCTGAGTCGACTGGTTTTGGTCCGAAAAGGCTGCGATGCAGCGTTCCTCCTTTATTCCCAATCGAACATGGTTGAACAAGCGGTTACGTGCTCCTGGGTGCCCAAATCACCTGGTCACCGCGCCAGCAGGCGACAACTTTCACACCAAGGTTCAACTCGAGTTCAACTCGAGTGACAGGACTGCACCCAAAAAAGGTCAAACAGGCTAGTAAGTTGTACCCTGCAGGCACGGTGACCAGGTGACTGGTGTACGCAGGAGCACGTGACCGCTTGTTCAACCATGTTCGATTGGGAATAAAGGCGGAACGCTGCATCGCAGCCTTTTCGGACCAAAACCAGTCGATTCAGCGTCCAAAAGACTACAACATATGGGCCAATCGCGGTCATCCGTGCTTTTATAAGAACGAAATGGCGCTTTTAGTGACATTTTGCATACAAATCCCCATCTAGTAGGGCGCAGTCACCCAGTTTCGGTGGAAGTGCGCGAGTTCGATTGGGATTCAAGTAGGAAGGGAGCGTCTCAGCTTCCTCGGACCAAGACCATTCGACTCAGCACCCCGAAGACTACAACTGGTGAAAATTTGATTTTAGGGTATACTTCCCCTTTAAATAGTTGCAGCATAAACATTTCTACGGGGACTGTGCAGCTTCACTAACCTTAAGGGGGCACATCACCCAAAAATTTCATATGGCATTCAATTGACCGTAACTTTGGTGTTTCTCAGTGGATTTGAGTGAAATTTTGACCACACACTCCTGCCACTATGCTGGCCCTCAGGACATGATTTACAAGTTCTTGCGCCTCACTGACAGGCTTTCCAGGCCGGAAAAACTCAAATTTCCGGCATAGTGCTACGGTGTGCGAGCCACCCAGGAGCCAAACAAATGCATTTACATTTTTTTCACATTTTCGTGCCCATTCTGTCCGTGCGCGGGACCCAAACCTAAAACAAGTCCAGAAGCACCCATGGGTGGTGGGGTAGGGCCCCTTAACGTGGCCCTGGAATCTGTCACAACGGAACGAGTGGGCGTTCTTTCACGAACTCCCACAGACCCAAGTCAATTTTTGAATTTTTTTAGGTTTGGCACGTGCTACGAGGTCGTACCTTTGATACAACATCCAGTGCTGGGACCTCCACAGCAAGCCATTTCCACAGCGCTGCACACCAAATCCAGGATGCCCTCAGAAACCGGCAAAGACTGCCACTCACGTTTCACTACTGCCTAGTACTGAATCCTACCTGACTTCTTGACACGACTCAAACTTGCCAAAGTCACTAAATCAACGTCAACTACAATAATCAAGCCACATATCTGCAACGTCACGAGGGTGCTGGCAAAAGTCCTGCTGCACGGCGGCGGGCTTCGCCCGCCGCCGTGCAGCCCAATACGTGGTTTTTTAACGTGATTTTTTGGACTTTTTTGGACTTGGGGCAAAATTCTGCACACTTTCGCGTGTTTCCATAATACGACAAGTTGCGCACGGTCTGCTCACATTCAAATACAGTGCTGCCAACAAATGACAGCATGCAACAAAAAAATCTTTCCTTGCAAGGGCACATTTTCGGCCATAACTCTTGAACGGCTGGTCAGATAGGGACACAGTTTTCAGAGAATTTGCAGCTATTCATGCTCTTTCAACTGACGTAGCACTCAATATGAATTTACAAATTCGATTTTTCAGCGAATTTTTGGGTGATGTGCCCCCTTTTGGGGGCACATCACCCAAAAATTTCATATGGCATTCAATTGACCGTAACTTTGGTGTTTCTCAGTGGATTTGAGTGAAATTTTGACCACACACTCCTGCCACTATGCTGGCCCTCAGGACATGATTTACAAGTTCTTGCGCCTCACTGACAGGCTTTCCAGGCCGGAAAAACTCAAATTTCCGGCATAGTGCTACGGTGTGCGAGCCACCCAGGAGCCAAACAAATGCATTTACATTTTTTTCACATTTTCGTGCCCATTCTGTCCGTGCGCGGGACCCAAACCTAAAACAAGTCCAGAAGCACCCATGGGTGGTGGGGTAGGGCCCCTCAACGTGGCCCTGGAATCTGTCACAACGGAACGAGTGGGCGTTCTTTCACGAACTCCCACAGACCCAAGTCAATTTTTGAATTTTTTTAGGTTTGGCACGTGCTACGAGGTCGTACCTTTGATACAACATCCAGTGCTGGGACCTCCACAGCAAGCCATTTCCACAGCGCTGCACACCAAATCCAGGATGCCCTCAGAAACCGGCAAAGACTGCCACTCACGTTTCACTACTGCCTAGTACTGAATCCTACCTGACTTCTTGACACGACTCAAACTTGCCAAAGTCACTAAATCAACGTCAACTACAATAATCAAGCCACATATCTGCAACGTCACGAGGGTGCTGGCAAAAGTCCTGCTGCACGGCGAAGCCCGCCGCCGTGCAGCCCAATACGTGGTTTTTTAACGTGATTTTTTGGACTTTTTTGGACTTGGGGCAAAATTCTGCACACTTTCGCGTGTTTCCATAATAGTATTAATACGACAAGTTGCGCACGGTCTGCTCACATTCAAATACAGTGCTGCCAACAAATGACAGCATGCAACAAAAAAATCTTTCCTTGCAAGGGCACATTTTCGGCCATAACTCTTGAACGGCTGGTCAGATAGGGACACAGTTTTCAGAGAATTTGCAGCTATTCATGCTCTTTCAACTGACGTAGCACTCAATATGAATTTACAAATTCGATTTTTCAGCGAATTTTTGGGTGATGTGCCCCCTTAAGGGGGCACATCACCCAAAAATTTCATATGGCATTCAATTGACCGTAACTTTGGTGTTTCTCAGTGGATTTGAGTGAAATTTTGACCACACACTCCTGCCACTATGCTGGCCCTCAGGACATGATTTACAAGTTCTTGCGCCTCACTGACAGGCTTTCCAGGCCGGAAAAACTCAAATTTCCGGCATAGTGCTACGGTGTGCGAGCCACCCAGGAGCCAAACAAATGCATTTACATTTTTTTCACATTTTCGTGCCCATTCTGTCCGTGCGCGGGACCCAAACCTAAAACAAGTCCAGAAGCACCCATGGGTGGTGGGGTAGGGCCCCTCAACGTGGCCCTGGAATCTGTCACAACGGAACGAGTGGGCGTTCTTTCACGAACTCCCACAGACCCAAGTCAATTTTTGAATTTTTTTAGGTTTGGCACGTGCTACGAGGTCGTACCTTTGATACAACATCCA